GCCTCCCGCGCCCCCCTTCTGCTGCCTGTGGCTGCACCGGCGCTGTCCCGAGGTCGCGCCTGCTCCGGCCGTGCCCGACCCCGGCCAGTTGGGCTAGCTCCCCTCGTCGCCGGCGACCACGCCCCGGGCGGCGCCCGGCGCCAGCGTCCCGCCTCGCTCGGGTTCGCCCCCCCTCCTCGGGTACGGGCGCCCACTTCCACGCCCGCACCCGAGCGCCCAAACCCACTAACCCCACAGGGGCCAATGACAGGCGGGGTCCGCCCCCAGAACGATTATAAAAAAAAAAGAGAATTAAAAAAAAATATATAACAAATAAATTAATAATAAAATTAATTAATTAATTAATTAACTAATTAATTAACTTATCTAATCTTGTTTAGTTTAACTAATTAAGATTAATTAACCTAATAACTAATTAACCTAATTAACTACTGTTAATTAAACCTAATTAGGTTAATTAGTTAACAGTGTATGACGAACGGGACCCACCTGTCAGGGTTGACTCAGTCAACCCCTGTTGACTGCTGACGTCAGCATGACATCATGCTGACGTCATAAATACATTTTTTCGAATTAATTAAATAAATAATTAAATTCCAAAATTGTTAAAATCTTTTAAAAATCATATCTTTTAATTCGTAACTCGGATTAAAATATTTTCAACATGAAAGTTGCTCAGAACGACGAGACGATTCCGGATACGCAACCCGTTCGTCCGCCACACCCCCCTAACCTATCGAACTCGCAACTTCCCCCCCCCCCTCCGGCTCCTCTGCCCGAAAACACGGAACCCCGGGAATACTTCCCGGATGCTTTCCCCCTTCACCGGTATCACCTCCTACCGCGTAGAACACGTCTAGCTCTGCCTGTTATCCTGTTATGCACTTGCTTACTATGTATTTACTGTTTCTCCCCCCCTCTTCTCTTTGGTAGACCCCGTGACGAGGCTGACGCCCCAGTTCGACTACGGAGTTGACGACCCCTCTCTCTTGCCAGAGCAACCAGGCAAGCCCCCCCTTTGATCACCAGATATCGCCTATTCTCCTCTATACTGCTTGCATTAGAGTAGTGTAGCATGTTACTGCTTTCGTTAATCCTATTCTGATGCATAGCCTGACATTGTCGCTACATCTGTTGATACCTTACCTGCAATCCTATATGCTTAGTATAGGATGCTAGCTTATCATCATTGGCCCTACATTCTTGTCAGTCTGCCTTGCTATACTATCGGGCCGTGATCACTTGGGAGGTGATCACGGGTATATACTATACATACATACATACTATACAGATGGTGATTAAAGTCGGGTCAGCTCATTGAGTACCCGCAAGTGATTCTGACGAGGGGGCTGAAAGGACAGGTGGCTCCATCCCGGTAGAGGTGGGCCTGGGTTCCCGACGGCCCTCGACTGTTACTTTGTGGCGGAGCGACAGGGCAGGTTGAGACCACCTAGGAGACAGGTGGGCCTGGCCCTGTTCGGCGTTCGCGGATACTTAACACGCTTAACGAGATCTTGGTATTTGATCTGAGTCGGCTACGAGCCTATACGCACTAACCATCTACGTGGGAGTAGTTATGGGTATCCCGACGTCGTGGTATCAGCCGAAGCACTTCAGACGTCAGCGACGGAGCGGCGCGCGCCGGATTGGAACGTAAGCCTGCTCTTGTATTAAGGGGGCTAGTTCTGCTTTCGGCCGCGTACGCAACGTGCAGGTGTGCTATGGGCGATGGGCCCAGACCCCTGTGCGCTTAGGTTTAGACCGGCGTGCTGGCCTCTCTGTTTTGCCTAGGTGGGGCTGCGACGTGTTGATCTTCCGAGGCCGGGCATGACCCAGGAAAGTGTGTCCGGCCAAATGGGATCGAGCGTGTTGGGCTATGTGGTGCACCCCTGCAGGGAAGTTAATCTATTCGAATAGCCGTGATCTTCGGTAACAGGACGACTTGGAGTTGTACCTTGACCTTATGACAACTAGAACCGGATACTTAATAAAACACACCCTTCCAAGTTCCACAGACAACCCGGTGATTGCTTTTCCGCAGGGCGACGAGGAGAGGATCGCCGGGTAGGATTATGCTATGCGATGCGGCTGGAGATGCGCTTGGAGATGCTACCTGGATATGCTACTTGGAGATGCTACTTGGAGGACTTCAATCTACTCTCTTCTATATGCTGCAAGACGGAGGCTGCTAGAAGCGTAGTCTTCGACAGGATTAGCTATCCCCCTCTTATTCTGGCATTCTGCAGTTCAGTCCACCGATATGACCCTTTACACATATACCCATGCATATGTAGTGTAGCTCCTTGCTTGCGAGTACTTTGGATGAGTACTCACGGTTGCTTTTCTCCCTCTTTTCCCCTTTCCCTTCTACCTGGTTGTCGCAACCAGATGCTGGAGCCCTGGAGCCAGACGCCACCGTCGGCGACGACGCCTACTACACCGGAGGTGCCTACTACTACTTGCAGCCCGCTGACGACGACCAGGAGTAGTTTAGGAGGATCCCAGGCAGGAGGCCTGCGCCTCTTTCGATCTGTATCCCAGTTTGTGCTAGCCTTCTTAAGGCAAACTTGTTTAACTTATGTCTGTACTCAGATATTGTTGCTTCCGCTGACTCGTCTATGATCGAGCACTTGTATTCGAGCCCTCGAGGCCCCTGGCTTGTATTATGATGCTTGTATGACTTATTTTATTTGTAGAGTTGTGTTGTGATATCTTCCCGTGAGTCCCTGATCTTGATCGTACACATTTGCGTGCATGATTAGTGTACGATTGAATCGGGGGCGTCACACCTTAGTGCTGGTGCTCTTTATCATAGATACATTCCTATAGATGTGAAACGGGTTAATAGACTTATGTTCAACTTCATAGATTAACCTCCAAGCGTCATTTTTCCTTTAGAATTTTATAGACTGTGGTAAAATATACAAGGAGATATCCCATGGTGTATGCTCTTTGCGGATGATGTGGTGCTAGTTGACGATAGTCGGACGGGGGTCAATAGGAAGTTAGAGTTATGGAGACAAACCTTGGAATCGAAAGGTTTTAGGCTTAGTAGAACTAAAACCGACTACATGAGGTGCAGTTTCAGTACTACTAGGGGCGAGGAGGAGGTTAGCCTGGATGGACAGGTGGTGCCTCAGAAGGACACCTTTCGATATTTGGGGTCAATGCTGCAGAAGGATGGAGGTATTGATGAAGATGTGAATCATCGCATCAAAGCCGGATGGATGAAGTGGCACCAAGCTTCTCGCATTCTCTGTGACAAGCGAGTGCCACAAAAGCTAAAAGGCGAGTTCTACAGGACGGTGGTTCGACCCGCAATGTTGTATGGCGCTGAGTGTTGGCTGACTAAAAGGCGACATGTTCAACAGTTACGTGTGGCGGAGATGCGCATGTTGAGGTGGATGTGTGGCCACACAAGGAAGGATTGAGTCCGGAATGATGATATACGAGATAGAGTTGGGGTAGCACCAATTGAAGAGGAGCTTGTCCAACATCGTCTGAGATGGTTTGGGCATATTCAGCGCAGGCCTCCAGAAGCTCCAGTGCATAGCGGACGGCTAAAGCGTGTGGGTAATGCCAAGAGAGGTTGGGGTAGACGGAATTTGACATGGGGCGAGTCCGTAAAGAGAGATCTGAAGGACTAGAGTATCACCAAAGACCTAGCTATGGACAGGGGTACGTGAAAGCTTGCTATCCATGTGCCAGAACCATGAGTTGGTCGCGAGATCTTATGGGTTTCACCTCTAGCCTACCCCAACTTGTTTGGGACTAAAGGCTTCATTGTTGTTGTTGTTGGTAAAATGTACATACATCAAATTCCCTCAGGGATACCTGCCAATCTGCATCAGCAACTAGATTAAGACTTACGGGCGTCGAGAAATGTAGGGAGATTTCTTATCCAACCTCCTTCGTATCTCAACTATTTAAAGTGGATAATGATTTTAAAAGCTTCACAAGCATTCAGCCTTCATATTTAGATCTTGTTTTCTCATTTCATTATCGCTAAAGGATCACTTTGTACACTTTTACATACTGTTGCCATGATAGTGTCCATAAGTACTGAATGGTGTAATAAGCTTGCTCCATTGATTGTGACAAACTAGAAAATACTTATCGGATTGTCTAAGCTTGCCTCCATTGATTGTGATTCCTCGGCAGCTAAGGTTATTTTAGTTTAAAATTTGTCTGTTGGAAGTCATTTGGTGTTAACACACTGAATAAATATTTGTTATCTTCAAGCCTGAGCTGTTGTACCTACTGCTTGGGCTTGTTGAGAGAGAGGGATGGACTGAGGGTGTCAGACCCAGTTAGCAAGCTCCCAGTGTCAGTGTACGAACTGAAACAAGCTCCTGGTCGCGCAGGGTTAATTCTTAATTTCTTAGTCATCATGTGCCTAACATTGTAATTTAGGCCATGGTGTTCTTTTGACTACCTAGAGGCTAGAGCTTGGTGAGATCAAAGGGTTATGATTTTCTTGGAAAGTTCATGCAAAAGACTTTCATGTACACATCAGTACTCCCATATTAATTAGTTATAGCATTTGGTATTCCCCCCAGCCGGAAGCTGCCAGAGGTATTATGTGACATTAGAGAATTGAGATAGCACATGGTTCTGCCGGCAGTAGTTTGGTAGGCCTCCTCCATTTCTGGTGGTCCACTGCTTATGAGCAGTACTAGTTCTCCAAAAGGAAGGTACTTCTAGATTGCCTCGTGACCATTCTTCAGGGCAGTACTAAATGGATTTACAGCTTTTTGTTTGAAAGACCACTTTGTTGTTCCCAATATATATATACAAAAGGAAGCATCAGGCAGTTTACTCACATAATTCTTTTCATAATTATATATGGAAAGGTTTGCCCCAATCTGATCTTTACTCTATTTTAGGCGCATGATTCTTGCTAGTGGTCTTCCGGGTATGGAAGGATTTCGCCAACGATGGAGCTTGCATGGACAGCTCGGCGATACAAGGTAATTGTTTAAGTACCAGAATGGAAACATAAAAAAAAAGGTGTGTTTGCTTTGATCCTAGGTTTGCCCCACCAAATATTTGGCTAGCCAAAATATTGGTCAAGGTTTTGTGTGCCCGTGAGTTGGCCAACTTTGGCCAAAAATATGAAGTACAGTTGGTAAGGAGCCATTGGCATGCCAAAATATTGGCAACCATCCAAACTAGAGTATCACCAAATCGGTAAGGTACATGTTGGCTATAAACCTAACATACCCTTATTGCTTTTCTCATTTGCACTGTAGCCAAGGAGGAAAATTTTCTAGTTTTGCAGTTTAGGAGATAAGAGTATTCATCGGTAATCTATCTATTATGTTTTCATGCTGCTGTCAAAACGGGAGTTCTGCTTCGCTGTTGTCTCCTTAAAAGTAAACTTGACAGTGTATTAATTGGTCTGTGTCTGTTTCATTGTGGCTTCCTCTGCTCAGTATTGTGAAGGGGGATGATTTTCAAACGTTAGTATCCAACAAACTAATACACATCATATCTCAATGGACTCCATAGTCTATATCCGTAGTGGGATGGCAAATCATTAGTGATTAGGAAACTGTTTCGATGTTTAGTCCAAATAAAATTCTCAGTATTTCCAGAGCAAAATGAACTTAATTATTCTATTTTTTATTTGTCCAGCTAGTGTTTTTATTTATTTATGTTACTATTTTTTCTGCAGGAAAAGGTTGGAGGCGCTGAACAGTGGGATGGCAAAAAGAGAGAGCCCAAGTCCTCCAGGCGAAGGCACAACACCTGCAGTTAAGAAGAGGTGGTTCTTTTAGTGCGTTAGCGCATTTTTTTTCCGACTTGCAAAACATTGTAACTAATGCTGTGTTAATGGCAATGTCATCCACTCATTTCTTGGTTTGGTGTTTCTACTTCCAAAGCAACTACTGTGCTGTGTTTGCTAACAGTGGTTCGCCACAGCTGTTGTAAACCTTGAACTTACCATTTGAATTACCATCGAAATGATGATACGCAACTCTTCCCCTCTCCTGGCTCTTGCGCACATACACGGACAGTATGGATTGTTTTTGTTATCGGTGGAGTAAATTGGCCGATGCACTCAACCCGCATAGTGGTGCTTTAGAAGCTGCTATGTGTAGCATAGCAATAGGGTTTAATATTGTGGAATATGCAAGCTTCATCCAACTGTGCGATTAATATGGTCTAGAGCGTAGTCTGGAGCAACTTTCTGAAGCAAGATAACAACTTGACACCTTGTGCTCTGTTAAGATGAACACTAACCATGTTCCTCTAAGGCGCCTTTTCCCTGAAGATTGTATGTACCCTACTCATGGTCCTCTTCTTGATTACTTCCAAGTTCGCCTATATATAATCCTGCACATATAGTACATAGTGCAATTTCTGTCGACCATGCTATATCTGAATCTTGGTTTCTTTCTCTAAGAAATGAGAAGAAAATTTTGTCCTAGCGGGGCATGTAGATTCTGCTTAGCCATAACGTAGAGCAGATGACACTTGACACAAAGATCGAGACCAAGCGCCCCGGATTTGAATCAACCGTTCGCCGGGACGGCAAGCGTGGAATCGTTTCATGTGGCGCGCGGGGGAGCTAGCCGAGCGATCTATCGAGCGGCAGTTGACTTGCCGGGACTAAAAGCCGTGCGTGGTTCCGACGACACTCGTTTAGTCAGATCATCCCGGGCCATAAAAGAAGGCGTTCCACACCTTGCACCATCACACCATCACGATCGAGCACTCGCAACAGCTTCACTCAACTCGCAGTGAAGATCACCTAGAGACCGACTAGCAGTGATCGATGGCGTCCGTCCGGCGCCCGTGCGCGGTGGCGCTGCTCGCCTGCGCCGCCGCATTCCTCGTGACGGTCGGTGCCCAGCCGAAGGACAACCCCATTTTGTCGGACCCCAACGTGGTCCCCATCTACATGAGCCCCGGCGCGCAGCCCACCGTGGTGAGCTGCTACAACCAGAGCAGCCCGTCGCAGGCCCCAGAGTGCATGATTCCGGTGCGCCGGTGCCCCGCCGGCTGCCGCGACCTCTGCTACGTGCACTGCCCCAGCTGCAAGCTCGTCTGCAGTAAGAACACCACGCACATACACGTCCATGTTTTTTTTTTTTTTTGCATTCATTTCACAGTTGAAGTTGCTGATCGATCGTGTGCTTGGCGCATCATTGGAACCCAACAGTGTGTGAACTGGCCGGCACGGAGTGCTACGACCCGCGCTTCGTGGGTGGCGACGGCAACAAGTTCCTCTTCCACGGCCGCAGGGACGCCGACTTCTGCCTGCTCTCCGACGCCAACCTGCACATCAACGCGCACTTCATCGGCAAGCGCAACGTGAAGGCGGCGCGTGACTTCACATGGGTGCAGGCGCTCGGCATCCGCTTCGGTGGCCACCGCCTCTACCTCGGCGTCAAGAGGACGGTCACCTGGGACAACGCCGTCGACCGCCTCGTCATCACCTTCGACGGCGTGCCCGTCGAGCTGGACGCGGCGCCGGCCGCCAGCTGGAGCCCGGCCTCCGCGCCCGCGCTGTCTGTCTTCCGCATCGGCAAGGCCAACGGCGTGGTGGTGCGCCTCGACGGCCGGTTCCGCATCGTCGCCAACGCGGTGCCGGTGACCGAGGAGGACTCGAGGGTCCACGACTACGGCCTCACCGCCGACGACAGCCTCGCGCACCTCAACGTCGCGTTCAAGTTCAACTCCATCAGCGCCGACGTGCACGGCGTGCTCGGCCAGACCTACCGCCCGGACTACGTCAGCGCCGGGGTTGACATGGGCGCCAAGATCCCGGTGATGGGGGGTGCCGCAAAGTACCAGGTGTCGGACATCTTCGGGACGGACTGCGAGGTGGCGCGCTTCGCCGGAGAGGACGTCGTCCGCGTCGGGGCGGTCGACATGATCGACGAGCCGGCCGACACCATGTGCGGCAGCGGCAAGGGCAGCGCCGGGCTGGTCTGCAAGAAGTGATGTGGTATCGCGAGCTGATTTTGCTTCGTTACCCTCGTAAGTGTGCCCATACACGTCTACGTGCTCGCTGCTGCTACACTACATTATCGGTAGTACCTCCGCATTTCAGAATAAATAACCGCTGGTGATGTCGTGTCGTTGTGTGTTAGTCAATCGATAGTCGTGTAGGGCAACGTTGGAAATCCAGGCGTTGCTCGGTGTAACAGGCTACTTTTTTTCCCTCCATGTTTTTTCAAATGTAATGATTGAACAATCAAGTTTGTGATTTTCATGTTACATGTGTGAGATACAATATTTCGTTGAGCCACATCCGAAAGTTCGGGAATAAATAGCATAAAACTACCACAATTTGTGTTAAGGTTTCAAAAAACTACCACAAATTTGTTTGTGACTGATAACTATCAGAATCAGCGTCGGCTGTCTCAAAAAACCCAAATCACCGAGTGCTTTGCAATTGATCGCGGTTATGACCTAAACAAACCATCTGTTTGACCGTTTACATTGACCATTACCTGACGTGTGGGTCCCACACGTTAGTGTCTCTTACACACCAATAAAAAATCTCAAAATATATGGCCTCATTTTTTACAGGATAACCCCTTCATTTTTTCAAAAGCGATAGAGTCCCTAAAAGTTTTTGAAAAAAGCAATCGGGTCCCTAGGAGAAGCCCCATCCGCCATGACAAATGGCGCCGGCAGCTCTGCAGCGTCCAGGTCACGACAGCAGCGTGGCCGTCGGTGGAGCAGCTCGACACGCCGGCGGCTCGCCGACTACAGGTCACGGGAGGCAGCGTGGCTAGCGGTGGAGTAGCTCGACGCGTCGGTCCATGGCGGCGCTGACTCGAGGTGGTGGTGATGTGGCCGGCCTCGGCGCGGAGACAGCGACCATGCCCGCGCAGAAGGGGGCGGCATGGGCAGCAGCGAGGGCCGGCAGCCATGGCCGCGCAAAGGAGGCGGCCGGATGTGCCATAGGGCGGCGGCATGGGCAACGGCGTGGCCGACGGCTATGGCCGCGCAGAAGGGAGCGGCGTGGGCAGCAGCGAGGGTCAGAAGCCATGGTCGCGCTAAGGAGGTGGACAGACGTGCCATAGGGTGGCGGCATGGGCAGCAGCATGGCCGACGGCCATGGCCGCGTGAAGGAGTGGCGGCGTGGGCAGAACAAGAGGAAGGAGAAGGAAGTCAGAAAGGAGGAGAAGAACAGGAGGAAGAGACACTGATGTCGGGGTTATGATCCTGACAATGCGTACTAGGGGTACGAATAAAGGGCAGGTGTAACACTCGGTGTTTAACGAGTTCAGGCCCCTCTCGGCGGAGGTGAATGCCCAACGTCTCGATTACTCGGTGTTTAACGAGTTCAATCCCCTCTCGGTGCTTTGACTGCATGGGTATGGTTACAAAGATTACTCGATGCCTGGCTATGGAGAGGGGTGCGGCTTATATAGAGTGCACTGATGCCCTGATACGTCTCCAACGTATCTATAATTTTTCATTGTCCCATGCTATTATATTATCATTCTTGGATGTTTTACAATTATTTTATAGCAACTTTATGTCATTTTTTGGGACTAACCTGTTTACATAGTGCCCAGTACCAGTTGCTGTTTTTTGCTTCGCAGAAAATCAATACCAAACGGAGTCCAAACGCAGCGAAACTTTTTGGAGAATTTTTCTGGGCCAGAAGACACGGGATGGGCCAAAGAAATACCAGAGGGGTGCCCCCGAGGGGGTGCACAACCCACCTGGGCGTGTCTGGGGGGCCAGGCGCGCCCTGGTGGGTTGTGCCCACCTCGGTGGCCTCCCGCACCGCCTCTTTGCTCTATAAATACCCCAATAGACCAAAAACCCTAGGGGAGTGGACGAAAATCAATTCCAACCACCGCAAGTTCCAGAAACCCACAGATCCAATCTAGACACCATAACAGAGGGGTTCATCATCCTCATTGGTGCCTCTTCGATGATGCGTGAGTAGTTCACTGTAGACCTACGGGTCCGTAGTTAGTAGCTAGATGGCTTCCTGTCTCTCTTTTGATTCTCAATACAATGGCCTCTTGGAGATCTATTTGATGTATATCTTTTTGCGGTGTGTTTGTTGGAATTTGATGAACTTTGAGTATATGATCAGATCTATATTTTTATCCATGAAAGTTATTTGAGTTTTTTTGATCTCTTATATGCATGATTACTTATAGCCTCGTATTTCTTTTTTGAATCTTTGGTTTAGTTAGGC